TCGCGCTATCGATGGTCCAACTTTCTGGAAGTTTCTGAAGGCATGTCAAGTGTTCGAAAATGGTGAGTTTATCAGCTAACACATGAATGGCAGGGAGGTAAGTAACACAAAAGTGAAGAAAAAGACGGAAAAACCAGCCGGGAACCTTGCCTCATGTACAGCCCCATGCCGACTCGCGTTTTCACGTGCATAGGGGGAAGGTGAACGTGCGAGTCCTCACTTTTAGTGCCAGCTCTTTCTTCGAATCACCCTAATATCCCAAACGGAGAGGGTTGGTAGCAGAACAACTACACCTCAAGCAGCAGCCCCCATACCTGCGGACATGATTATTTGTCTGAAGAAGGTCTCTGCGCATGGAGTGAACGCGGGACGTGCCTTCAACGAGTTGTACGAAAAGTCCCGAAGAGGCGAATGATGAATCCATTGCTCGAAAACTAGATGATCATTGTAAGCGTAGGTGATGCAGGTGTGGGACGCAGATATTAGGTTGTCCGGAAAGTTTTGAGGAATTTCGCTCTTCGGTTTTAAGAAGTATAGCAAGCGAATGCACCAACAGAAATCCTATATCGAATGCTATGAGGAAGAGAAATGCTTCTAGGCTGAGTACGACATTGCCGGTAAATCTCTGGTGTAAATACTCTGTGGGAAATGGACGAGCGCCACAATTAGAACGCCTTTTACCATTTCTGGCTGCTTCCCCGGCCAAATCGGGGATGAGGCTGTGTCACCGGTGCTAGACAAAACACTCTCCGATATTATCTGCAATAGGAGTTTCGTCGCTTTTCAGTGTGGGAGTTTAGCTCCCGCTTTTTCGGTACTCACTTTATTCTAACTCCCACGCAAACAATCCCTCCTTAAAGTTAAGGAGAATGGAATATGTTCATATGTTAGGATTATGTCCAACATAGCTCCCTTCCAAAAGTTAAGGGGAAGGCAGCGTTCAGACTTCGCGTTCGGTCGCGCGTTCGACGCGATCGATGCAGTTGAAAGCATGCGCATCGATCGTCGGAATCGCGCGACCGAAGCGCTGCCGTCGCGAAGTCTGAACGCGACCGAATGGAGTATCTTCATATATTAGGATTATGTCCATCATAACTTCTGATGCTCATCTCTTATTGCTTTCGAAAGTGTTGAATAAACTGAATGGAACTTTTCAAAACTCCCCGTATACCCTAATAGATGAGTGAAACACGGTGCCAAGAGCTCCCAGTATTTCAGGAGTGACCTCACTATCACCAGACCTTTCTTAAGGGATAAGAATCGCACATCAAGCTGGGTGGCTCGGAAATTCCTCTGTCAAAGTGTTCTACCAACCAGCGCTGACGGTTCTGCAAAGATTCGGAGGAGCTTCGACATCAGTCTTCAATTTCTCCGAAATCAATCCTTCGTAGACCACCACGTCCACTTAGAAGGGAGAGAGAGGTATTTTGCACTAAAATGATCGAACTGAAGGAAGAAAAATTGCAAGGTTGAAAGGTGCAAAGAGGGAAGCAACCGTGGATACTGATTCCATTCAAAGTGCAACGTGATGCATTGAAGGCCGATCAATTTTAATCCGAATCCATAGCTGCTGTTTGCACTGTTGTATTTGGGATGTTCAGAACGCTGCACAGCTGAACACGTTTCATTTATAATAATTTTGCTGCCTAGCTGCTTCCGCCTCCGGGCATCCAACATATGAATGAGTTCGGTACATGTCAAGCAGGCACGTCTGCCGCTGGTAAAAATTTTTGCAAAATGCGACCCCCTCAAAAATAGTTATTCTAGGACGACTACCTTTCCCGTCCTACCTGTCATCTTCCCCCTTCGTACCACTTTTCTGAAATTTTCTTTTGAAAAACTCACACTTCTTCCAAATGGAAGTGGCGCCGGGGGGTGAGGAGTATACGTGTACTTGAAAGCGGAACAAGCGAAAACTTCAGTAACCGAAAACATTTTTCTCAAGAGCAAAAACGACCATTAAGTCCTTCCCTCTCTCCCTTCAGTGACTAAAAATGATCCTCTCCGAGAATCCCCATTTGCCTGATGTCCGCTAGTCATTCCACATTTTACGAATGGTTAAGTTGGTGAGGTTTCTGGATGGATGCTGAGGATGAAGTTGTCTCATAAATGGGCTGACCCTGCATGGTCATTGCAGAGACCTGCACGCACAAATATTACAGCCAGTCAGCATGTATGAACAATAAAGTGACACCACTAGAGCAGTTGGTATGCATGTATGAAAAAATAAAGTGCACCACAAAAAAGATTCAACCCTGGGCGTTTTCTTCTTTCGATTATCATCTATACAAAGGTACAGTCCAACCTGGCGTCGATACAGGGATGAGGTGAGAGAACTATTGTAGCTCACAAGCGCGCGCTTTTCCGAAATGTATGAAGAGGAGATAACGACGCCTGGTAAGCTTATGAGGGTCCAATACATCTCTAGTTCATTCCAGGATTTTCTCAAAATTCCATTTGGGCGGAGACGACAAAATCATTCTCTATCTAACCTTTTCGCAGATTTTCCGAGGCTACACTCCACTGATCCTCCATTTCTCAGAATTAAATGACCAAAACGTAGCAAAAACAGTGGATCAGTTCAGCTCAGACGATGTCATCGTTTTTTCAACTATTCGGTTCCAATGGCGCCAGGTATGGAGCTCACAGAGTTTACATATTTGAAGATTATTTTTGGACGTATGGCTTGCAGTGTTGCATTCGATGTTGGGGAGAGGTTCTGAGGTAGCAGCAGATTATAATGGTAAGAGTTTATTGTTATGTTTCTACAGCAACAACAAATCCATTAGGAAAAAATCATCATTTCTGGTTGCACTCCTCCGTTTGTGTAGACGATACATCGAGGTCTGAAATGAATTAGGTCAATAAGAACAATGTCACAAACACCTGGTCTAGAAGGCACTTTCTACGCTGTTCGTGTAGAATTAGTTACACACACTCATTCACTCAAAAAGTCACCCACCAAATGTGAGGTTTTGAGTGACCCCGCCCCATGCAATCAGTGCAAAATACAGGGGGGAACAGAAAAAGACACTTTTTCCTCGACTTCAAGGCGAGATAAGTTACTTTATTAAATTCTGATTGGACATTCCCACCACCAGCAACATCACATTGTACACTATAATGATACTCCGCCAGAGCCTTCTGGACGAGCACCATCGAGAGATTCCGCGACGCAATCGTGATGATTCGGTTCCTCAGTTTAGCGATTTCCTTGATTTCTCCACCACTGTGGACCGCTCCGGTTCACAGTGGTGGAGAAATGAGTGAGTTTTGAGCTCCGCTCTGACCTGTAATCGAGGGGCTATAGGTGACCGTGACACATATTAGATTTCCGTCGTCTTTATGTACTCAACGACCCCCCCCCCCCGCTGCATGCTTCGGTCATGCTGAAGGGCTGAGCTACAACGAAGTCCCTTCAAACCATGTTCATTTTTCGTAACAAAGACTTGACTATATTGTAAGCAAATCAAGAAATGAAGCTTTCACGGGTAACGATAAATTTCATACCCTTCACATTGATTCTTTCCACTTTATGCATACGAGCTCTGCACTGAAATCGAACCAAAGCCGAAAATCCACGAAATGGAGGGGCCATGGACACAACACGTTGTTCTTCGCAATTATACATCTGTATGAAATCTTAGTAAAAAACTTGAGTCACGCAAACCTATAGAATTCATTCGCTCTGAGAAGGAAGCGTGCCTGAATTGGTATAAAGCCGCAGTGAGTTACTTCAATTGTGAAGGGAAACGTGCTCAGCAGCACATAGAATTTTGCCCTTTATGATATGATGACTAGGATTCCCTCATTGTACAAGTAGGAGTTCGAAGTGATACCGGTATCACTTTCGCGGCTCCAAATGTGAGTGACGAGAGTGCTGAGGCTGTCAGTCGCTGTTGCGAAGTATCAGCTCCACCTCGAGATGAATGCTGTTGGAGAGTGCGATGAATATTACTCGCCTCGTTTTCCTCTCACCTCAGAATTCTACCCTGGTCTACGACTGTTGCTGCAGCTTAGAATTTATCGCTTCCCACTTCTTACAAAAATCTAAAGTCACTTGGGAAAGAACAGCATTTTCGGCTGTCTACGGCGGGTATATGACAAGAAAAACGTGAATCGCCGCGCTAGAGAGCCTCGCGTTACATATTAGGTCATCCCATTCAAAGTGGCCGATGGTTTTTTGAATAAAACAAAGAGGAGAATAGATAGAAAAGTGATATTTTAGCTTTAGGATGAGTAAATCCCTCCTTCACCAATGACCCGCTCCCAGTGCCCCGAGGGCCTTTGGACCTCTGGTACCTTCGATTTTTCAACAAGTGTGAGTAAATTGCTGTTGTTGCCAATTTCGGCAAATGACAAAACATTGTAGCGTCTGCCGTCGAAGAGTACTCTCTACTGAATAGAACAGTTGTAATCGCATGGCTTTATGACGGGCGAATGGGACGATTGAACTCAGGTCTCAGTATTGTTTGTGTCCCAGCACTGATCTACAATACAGTTACTCGGGGTCTGGCACTATGACGAGCAACGGTGGCCTTCTTGTAGTTGTGTGGTAGCATCCATTTGTCGATCTGAATGCCGAGGAACAGGCAATATGCACCGACAGTGACGGATTTGTCCTCTGTATAGAGCCGCTTGAAAGCCACAGTGTGGGAATCCTTTGCTATGATGATCATCCACTTGCGCCCACGTAACTCTTCATGGTAGAACTCGGGCGGCTTCTCATCTGCATTCATAGAAAATTGACGATTGTGAGTTTCGACTCGAGGTCCGAGACCACCCATATTTCATCTAGGGCCGGGGTGCGTTTTCACAGTTGTGAGTGACATCTCATGCTGAGAACATTACTGCTGGAGGTATAGAATCGGTACTGCGTTCGTGCTTCTATAAGAAAATTGGGTACCCATGCGCCACCCTCTTGACCATCCTCCGTTTATCGGACATAACTCGGGCAGCAGTTGCAGCTGGGATGTCAGACTCGCGGGGAAGCTCGACAAGGGTCCAGGCTCTGTGATCAGATATTCAGTGCCTGACTTCATCCACCCGTTTTTCTTGTGCAGGATGAATATTATGGGACCACCCACGACAACAAATTTTTTCCTTTCTTCCTTGTACGGGCTCCTGAACCAAATCTTCCACCGTGTATTTCGAGAACACCCTTACACACAACTATGGTCCGGCGCAGGTCAAATTTGAGCAGCGCACTTTCCTTTTATGACGTCTGATTTGAAAAACCGGCGCCGATTTTCACCACTCGGGCTTCTCTTCAATTTCTCGAGAACTTCTTCAGAGGCTAGGTTCGCCAAATTTCACAGATACACAGCTTAAGGTACTAGCTTCCAAATGGTATAGTAGCCCGCTGCTCTATCCCCTTTGCTTTTCTGCCATTCCTCTATATGTGTCGGCCACTTTGAATGGGATGACCTAATAATGACACAATTTCAGCTGGGTAATTTGTCGAAGAAATTGACAATATATGACCGAAAGTAGACATAAGTATCTACCATGTCTGTGCCTACGTGAAATCCGATGCTTCTCGAAAGGGTAGCGCATGAGGAAACGTCGCGCCCATCGCCGCGCGCGACTAAGCGGCAACTTACGATTCTCTTGCCCGTCTCCCCTCTTCGGCACATCGCCACGTTTCGTCTGCCCTGTTTTTCTTCTTTCAGTGATTCAATTAGCACCTACAATTTCTGCGTGAACTCCTTAGCACACGAATAGCAGCCGGGGATGCACCTTTCATCCCCTTAACAAGCCAACCGCGCACGAAAGGAAGGTTTCATTGTGCCCGACTGTGATTGATCTGCTGATAGCTGCGGGTGAAGAGCTTCTTGTGATTGCTCTACCTCCACATAGTTACATATAGTCCATATCTTGACCAGGCAAAAGTTAGTTGAGAGCATAATGGTCATAAGCAGCTGCTGATTTGATCAGAGCCACCCGCAGCGCGGATAGAGCAAAAGAAAGTTGATTCTCTTATCTTTCAGTGACCCAACCGGCAACTGTCTTGAAATACGCAGTCGCCACCGCTCTCACAATTATGGGAGCAGCTGGGTATGCCCTCCCTTCCCGAGAAATGGACTACATCTTGTGATTAAAATGGAACTATTCTCCGCGCCCGATATTGGGTAAGGTGTTGCTTATAAATAGCCTTTCTAGGCAAATATCGGGTCACCTCACTCGTAAATTGTAATTAAACCTGACCGTTTTGATTCTTATGGGTAATGCGCGATATTGCTCGGTTTCCTTCATATCACCGGTACCGAAATTGTTAAATATGGGCTCCTTAGGCGCACCTGAAATTATACATCATTCTGCTTCATCGAAGTTTGAACAGCTCAATCTTGAAAAGACTGTGATTAAATAAGTAGGAAATACACAGAGTGGCTACAATTTAGCGTAACATGTGAGCGCTGCAAGCAGTTTTGGTTCGTAACAAAAGAAGTTTCAACTATGCATTTTGTTGAACTCGTGCCACTTTCCTCACTCAAGTATGCACGGAGATTGGGCTGAAGAGTAGTGATAGCAGGCGTCTCCACACTCTCGTTGTGATAATCACAACGGTGGAAGCCGTATTTGACCGCTAGGGAGGGGGGGGGGGGGTCGTATATGGTCTGAGAAAAATTGTTTGATAGTTGATTTTTCTTGTTTCGCAGATGCTATAAGGGAGAGGGGGGGGGGCGTATCTCGTTGTTGGAGAGAGCGCGGGCTCGTATCTGTCTTTGAGAGGAATTTGTGGCGTTGGAAAACTTTTCCCGGTTGTTGAGTTTTTGCGGTTTTTCCTGTTTCAATGGTGTTATATATTCCCCCACCCTTAGTAGGCGCTGCTATCATGGATATACCATTTTCACTTTAAATCGGACACTTTTCAAACCAAATCGGACACTTTTCAAACCAAATCGGACACTTTTCAAATCAAATCGGACACTTTTCAAACCAAATCGGACACTTTTCAAACCAAATCGGACACTTTTCAAATCCAAATCGGACACTTTTCAAATCAAATCGGACACACCCCTTACAATTAGGTGGTTGATAACTAGACCACACTAGGTACTGTTGCAAGCCCCGCCCATTATCCCCGCCCACTTCTCAGCGCGGACAGGGTTTTCCGAGATGCTTCATGAAATCTGCTCCC